TACATATTTTTGGACTAGTAAAAGTTTATAACAATTTTCCAAAACCAAAAAAAAACCACAATACATTTTTTTGTAGTTTGCTTGACAGAAGTATGATTTTTTTATTGTTCTTTGACACATTTCTTAATGGAAAATTTGTGCTTTTCCTGTGTATTATTTGGACCTATATGCTACTTTTGACTGATATTTGACTGGTCAATTGACCAAACTTTATTTGATGGGTCAAATATCCAACCCTAAAATAAACCCAGACTTGCTGTTTGGAGGGAAAAAAGAAAAGATACAGAATATTGACTGTCAGCAACACCCAGAGACCTATCTTTAAAAAAACCCTCATCTGTCACTATACAAGGATAACTGCTGGGGGTAATTGATCACTGGTAAGAATTTTGGATAAATAGCTCGTGGTCTTTCCATTAAATCTTAAACTGGCCTATAAATTACTCAAGCAGTAGAATGAGAAGACCCAAACTGAGGTGGGACATTGCATCCTCAGTGTCCTTTGCTCTCACTTTCTCAACTCATGGCTTGTTTTCTTTTTCAGGCTGTCTATATGTTCTATGCTCTGGCAATTGTGTGCGATGATTTCTTTGTCCCATCATTGGAAAAGATTTGTGAGGTAAGTGCATGGAGATTGTATGCAGACACATGCCAGTGTGGTAGCAATTTTTGTTGTACCCATTGGCAACTATGACACGTAACATATTGTAGGGTCTCTAGGTTCCTTTTTACATAATTGGTAAAGCTACAGATGTTGTGTTTTACATTTGATTATAATGTTTCATAAATGATTGGTTCAGTTTCACATTTTTCTGCAGAAGAGCAGATAGATTGCCTGTACCTTCATAGTGGACAAAACATGTGCTTGCCAGGTGCTCTGTTAATCCATTTTAAATAGCAGTTACTATATTTGCATAAGACCCTTTTCCTTCTTAAAGATGGTTGGAGGCCCCATTTAACATAGCATTAATACATAGGATCTAGTTAGGAAATTCCTATAAAGCTACCGGGGGGTGTTCTTGTTTGTTGCTCATTTACTGTTCAGAACCCTACATTTGAGTTCCTACCTCTGTCATATTTCCTGTAGGACCTGAGGCAAGTTGCATTATCTTCTTGTGACTTAGAAGATGATATGGTTTCTTACCTTCAACATGGCCATGCTGATCCACTGAGCACTCCTCAGTTTCAAAAAGTGCTTCTACCTTTGGTGGCCTTTCATTCTCTATGTTTGTGCCTAGCACATGGGACCCCAGCCTAGCCTGCTCCAAAATGCTCCTGCCATATGAATGTTACATAAAAGAAAGCTGTCTACTAATGTAAATGTCCCAGTGCAGACATCAGTTTAAAACATCGTGGCAGATCCTCAGCTGATGTAAATTATAGGTCACAGAAGCAGAAAACCCTCTGGATCATTGGGTCCAGTTCCCTGCTGTCAGTTGCAACCAAATGACAGAATCCATTTAATAAAACAAGCTGATCTCCATCTTAACACTACTTGGGTGTTTTGCTTGCCATCTGCACTCCCTGGATGGTTAGAACCTTGCTTTGAATTCCCAGCCTCACATGATTCATGGCCAATTTATATCCCTTTGTTCTTTTGCCAGTGTTATACTTTAGTTTAAACAGTTCTTTTCCCTCCCAGGGTTTTTACCCCCTGATGTGTTTATAGACAGCAATCAGACCCTTCTTAACCTTCATTTTGCCTGGTTAAATAAGACAAGTTCTTCTAGTCTCTTCTCACGAGACAGGTTCTCTATCCCCCTAATCAGCCGTTCCTCCATCCCTGCTCCAGTCTGAGTTCATCTTTCTTGAACCTGTGACCAGAGCTGTATATTGTACTGCAAGAAGGTTTCATCCAGGCCTCGTACAATATTTTCCCAGTCTCAGCTAGAACTACCTGTCCTGATACAGCCTACAATAGTAGTTGCTTTTTCACACGACTGTTATAAAATCGGCAGCTTCCAGTTACCCTGCAATTAGCTTACAGATTTGTTATCCAAAACGTATGGTACCAACTGCAACACGATGTTGACTTACAAAAAATCACTTGCGAATGGACCTGAGATTTGACATGCATGTCCTTTTAAAATTCAGAAATGGGGATTAATCAGTTTCCCTGACTTGAGTGCATTGAATCCTTATGGAAATGGAGTTGTCATGGTCATCTCCATTTCCATAACTTCATTCCCATCTGCCAGCCTGCCTTTTGTCAAGGGCACAGCTGGGGCATAGGCGGTTGGTGCCTGATCCTAGACAGTCACAAGGTCTAAACTAGATTCACAAGCTAAATGATCAAGAGCAGACAGGGTGAGGAGCCAGAGACTAGAGACAGGAGCAAGAAGCTGACGATCAGGAAGCAGGGGTCCAGACTAGAGGCAGAAGCAAGGAACCAGGAGCCAAAAGCCCAGAGAGAGAGACAGATAGGGATCTGTCTGGCTGAGTAGTCTGAGGAAAACTGAAACATCAGCTGCTTATAACCAGGCAGCCACGCCCATGTGGGTAACTTGTGCCAGCTGGGAGTAGTTAGGCTACTGGCAGTCAGGCTCACTCTGGTCAGTCATGGGCTAAAGCCTGGCTGCTGTCCTGGCTTCTAACACCTTTGCTCCCAGTCAGCTTCATTGTCCTTTCTGAGAAGGGAGGCAAAGTTTTTTTTGTTTGGTTTCAGGGCAGGCCTAAGTTATCTGTAGTCACTACCCCAACTCCTCACTGCACAGTGGCCCCACTGCTTTCCTTATTCCCTTTTCATTTATCTAGCTGAAGAACCTTTTTTCATGCTTATGCCGCTGACTATAAGGAAAGCAATGTGCTCTCCAGTATGGCCAAGTACCAGAGTTACACTCCTGGAACCAAGAATGCCAGCCATGTGCACGGGATGGGAAACATCATCCAAGAAAACTGTGGGCCTGAAAAAAGTCCTAATGTGAATCTTGGGTACAACACTGGTGTCAGCAGAGTTAACAAGAGCCTTAGAGGTATAAACAGGGGAGGTCAAGTAAGAGCAAGGAAGTTATATTAGACATGCAAAAAAGCAACTATTATCCTAGGCTACATCATAAGAGGTGATTCCAGTTGAAATTGGAAAATATTGTACTAGGCCTAAGGAAAACCTCTTTTCGGTATGATACACAGCTCTGGTCACAGGTTCAAGAAAGATGAATTTGGACTGGAGTAGGGGTGGAGAAGGGCTGCAAGGCTGATTAGGAGGATGGAGAGCCTGTCTCATGAGAGGAACTAATGTATTTTTGATTACAGACCTCCTTGAAAGAATCTGTAGTCTCACTAAATTATACAACAGCCAGGTTTATGTATGAAGCATCTCTCTTACACCTTGCAAGGGAATGGTCCCCATTTTGCATAGGCCAGCATGCTGAAATTTTAGAAGAGCAGGACTTCATACCTTTGCGGGTTTATTCAAGGTAAGGATTAACCATTGGTTGAGCACAAGCCCTAAATAAGTTGCATGCAATGAAGTATGCGCGGCATGTAGAAAATATGGATAGGTTTTGACACTTAGATCTGTCAGCTGAAAAAGACACCTACAGATCTTCCTGGTAATAAGAATCCATCATCATGAAAAATGGAGCTGGTCTTTGGCCTGGGAATGAGGTGTGGGAGGTGCAATGAACTCATTCCTGTATGATGGTTGTGATGGAAGCTGACTCTAAATGACAGTGACATCTCTGGCTCATTGGTAGACAGGGCAGCCTCATTTAGGCTCAGCAGAAACTAATTGTATGCACTGGGGTCTAGATGATTGAGAGAGACTGTTCCAGCTTAGATCAAGGCTGGAGGCAAGGGATGTCACTGTGGTTCTGGTAAGGTATTCTGGTAAAAAGTAAATAGATACATGTGATTGTACATTAAGAGGGCAGTACAGGTTAATGTTGCATGCTAACCATGATTACCAGAAAGTGCCAGGAAACACTCAAAACTGTCAGGTAATGTAGCATTTAGATGGCTAGGAGCTCCAGCCTGAGAGATTGTCAGCTTCAGGGCTGAGGAAGGGTTTCAGGGCTAAACCTAAGTGTAGATGACGTTGGGGACATAGAATGTAAGGCAAAAAAGGGTATATGAGGAGTGAGAGGCCTGGAGGGGGGAGGTGGTATCGGTGGTTGAAGCATGGCGAGGTGCTCCCAGGACATCGGCTCAGTGTTTCCAGAGCATAGAGCATAGCCGTGTTTCTATACAGCTGGGATGCTCTGGGGCTGGACAGCCAGCTGTGATGCCACAACTAATGGAATTAAAATTGCCTGGTTCCTAGGACAAGCCAGCTTATCTCTGTCATTTGTACACTCTGGTCCCCTCTCCAGATCCAGCTTGTGTCCTCCTGAGTCTGGCCCTGTACCTAAACCGCAGCACAAGTGTAGAAGCCATAAATGACTTTCAGTTATGCCAAGTTGTAGTTCCCTTTCCTCTCTCAACTATGCTTGTCACTGCCTCCTCCTTCTCTCTCTGTCCCCTCCTCCCCCCATCCCTTCTTTCCTGCCTGCTCTGAAATCCACGTTTACAGTCATGTATGGGTCCTTGAAAAGCTTGAAACCCTCTGAGATAGCAAGGGCTTCTGTAATTTAAGGAGCAGAGGCCAAGAGAAACCAGGACGTTTGAAAGCAGAGGGATGAAAGGAAAGGAGTAGAGGCTTGAGAGGGAGGGAGGCAGAGTTCTAGGCATCAGCACAACTGGAAGGAAATGCAACATGCTGCACCAAACTTTAAAACCCCTCTCCTCTGAAAATGCATACAGTGCCCAGGACTCCCTCAGCCTCCTGTCTCTCATCTCCACACATTCCTTCAGCACCTCTCCATGTTCCTTCATGAACATCTTCCCTGGGAGACTTTCAGTTTTGCCTGTGCCAGAGCTCAGATAGAGAAAAGAATTACCTACCTGCTTAAGCCCCAGAACGCAGGGACCAGTCTTTGCAATGGCATCATTCCGGGGAGAGTGGAAGGTTCTTTGCAATTGTGCTGCAGAAGAAAGCAGTCATTTAAGAGAGTGTGTTGTAAAGTATCTCAGCATTATGACACCAGTGGTGTCCCCGTGCCCCATTTACTTGTTCTGTAGCTGGCTGCTAGGCACGTTCCCCCAAGAGTGAGAAGCTGGTAAGGAAACATGCTGCTGCCCTACTTAACTGTCTCCCCCACACTGGGAAGGACGAGGCTCTTGAAGAGACAAACCCAGTGAATCAAGAAAGCCACCTCATTATACGTTGGCATATGAGACTGGAAGAGGTGTTGTGAGCCATCCAGTGCTGTCCCTTGCATTGGAAGTGAAGTGTTTACCCCAGAAACCCCCAGAATTGCTATTTCAAACCCTCATTCAGAGTTGCAAAGAACAAGATATCAAGAACCTCCTGCAACAAGTCATAGGCAAATGCAGCAGTGACAAGGGCATTACCAATGCCCTGCCTCTGCAACGACAGGGAAATGTTGGTCAATAGCTATTCAGCAGATCCTAGGAAAAGACACGTCTCCACACTACAGAGAAAGGTAAAATAAAAACCCTATAGTCAGTGCCAGTTTGACTGAGGGGAAAATGCCCAACCCCAAATCCAGCAACCAGAATGACCATAAGAGGAAGAGCAAGACCCAGCAGTTTTCCAGCCCAGATCAGGCTTCATGAACC